CCCCATACCTGAAAAACTTCAGTTTTCCTCTTAGGCCATTTGTGACTTTTCACCTCATGCTATACCTATGCAGGCTCAAGTTTTCTCCTCTCTGCCAGACTGTAAAGCTGATTCAGTTATACATTCATTCAACACTTTTTTTTTTTTTGGTGCTGAGGATGGAACCCAGGGCCTTATACCTGCTAAGCCCATGATGGTACCCAGTTATACTTCCAGCCCAGAAATATAAGTATATATATATATATATATATATTTGTGTGTGTGTGTGTGTGTGGTACTGGGGCTGGAATTCAGAGCTCACACCCTGAGCCACTCCATCAGCCCTTTTTTGTGACGGGTTTTTTGATATAGGGTCTTGTGAACTATTTGCCCAGGATGGCTTCTAACCACCATCCTCCTCAGTAGGTAGGATTACAGGTGCTCAGTTCAGAAATATTTTTTGAATTCCTATTAAACACAACTACTATGCTAGATTGGGAGGTAGTTCTTTTCAAGGAATTCAATGGGCCAGGCATGGTGTCCCACGCTTGTAATCCCACCTACTCAGGAGGCAGAGATTTGGAGGATCTTGGTTTGAGGCCAGCCTGGGAAAAAAGTTAGTAAGACCCTATCTCAACAAACAAGACAGATGTGGTGGTCTGCATCTGTAATTCCAACTACTGGGTGGCATAGGCATCCAGTTAAATTAAGGCAGGAAAATCAAGGTCAAAGCCAGCCCCGGGCAAAAATGGGAGATCTGATCTGAAAAAATTAAGCAAAAACCAACCAAACAAGAAAGCTGGGGACAATGGCTCAAGAGGTACAGTACCTATCCAGCAAGTGCAAGGTCCTAAGTTCAAACACCAGTACTACCACCACCAAAAAATAAATTAAAAAACAAAAAGGGACTCATGGTAAAAATAAATGATTAATATTTAGTTTGCAAATAATGTGATAGAGTTGCTCACAGAATGTCCTGAGAAACACAAAGGAGTTTTCAAAACTCAACCTAGAACAAGGAGAGGAAGAGCAGAAAATTCCCATGAGCAGATGACACCTGAACCAAGTCCTACACTGAACAGAGAAGAGGTGCTCTGGGTAGAAGGAAACAGCTGTTTCAAGGCACTTACTTAACTGATTCACATTTGTTTCCCTTACTGCAAAGATTCCAACACCTGTGTTAAACCAGGACCATCCTGTTCTGATTTATAATGAGAAAAACAAGGGCAATGTAGGGAGGTGTCAAAATGTTACATTTCATCCAAACTTTAAATTTCAAAATCATGATCATTCTTACTTTTTTTAATTGTTAACTGCTCTTTCTTTAATGAAATGGTTATTATAATATGGTTGTGTCTTAGTTTATAATTTTAAAAGTTTTTTTTTTGAAGGGTCTTGTTGTATTGTCCAGGCTTCCCTGAAGTGTGGGCTCAAGTGATCCTCTGGCCTTAGCTTTCTGAGTAATTAGGACTACAGGTACACAGGATACGAGTCTTAATGCTTTACCGTAGAAAAACTAAGAAAAATGGTAATTTTAAGTTAGTTGTTCCAATTAAAAATGTTTTTCCTTGTCCATAATATCCAAGAATTGAGCAACCACTACTGTAATGCAGTGGTTCTCATAAGAACTAGCAGGCTGGGGATGTAGCCAAATGATAGAGTACTTGCCTACTATGTATGCTTAAGGCCCTGGGTTCAATCACCAACACTACCAAAAAAAAAAAAAAGTATTAGTGGATTAGGGTTACCTAAAGAGCTTTAAAACTATATGCATAGGGCTGGAGGTGTGCCTGCCTAGCAAATAAGTGTGAAGCACTGAGTTCAAACCCCAGTACTGGCAAAAATACACACACACATTTGTGTATACATGTATATGTCTATTCATATACCAATTCTCTTAGAGCACCCCAGCCTTAGAGGTTTAGAATTTCTGAGGTTAGGGCTCTTTTTAATAAGCTCCTTAGCTGATTCTGAAAAGCACCCTGAACTAGGGACAACTATCCTAGCCAGCTTATTCCCTACCCCACTCCAATCCATACGTGTTGGGGATTAACACATGGGAATGTGAACTTTGCTTTTTTTTTTTTCTCTCGAACAAAGAGATGTGCATACCATAAGTACACACAAAAGATAAAACTGTTTTAGGAGAAAGTCTGACTCAACACAGTAGAAGAAAAAGGAGGTTGTTTTAAGGACTTTTACTTTCGTGCATAAAAACTAATTCTATGAAAACATAGAACTCTTAACCCTTGGTCACTGACATAAACATATTTGGGGTCAGGAAGATTTTTTTTTTGGTAGGACTCTGGTTTGAACTCAGGGATTCATGCTTGCAAAGCAGGCTCTCTACCCGTTGGACCACAACTCCAGTCCCATAAACGTATTTGGGATGAAAAATTATTGTTTGAGAATTGCAAGACTAGGTACATTCCCCACAGTGTCATTTAAAAAAAAGTGAGTAAGATTGTTAAGTCCAGAACACTGATGAATGGGGCAACCAACTCTTTATTATTAATCCTTCAGCAACCTGAAAAATGCAAATAAACTTCTTCCAGGACCTACCAAATTTTAAATTAAATCATTTTAATCTAAATCCACTTAAATCATTTTCCTGTATTTCCTATCTCCTCATGTTATCTTAGAGGTCAGTTCCCAAAGCATCCAGGCCACTGCTCTGAACTCAAGACAATTCCACTTGCTTTTCTCAGAGCATTTAGATTCATAGAAATTTAGAGGTTTCTGAGTTCAAGTACCTGATTTTGTGGTTGAGGAAACAAGCCCTCGCAAGACTCCAAAACAGAACTGAGTTTTCCAGCCACGTGCTACGATTTTCATATAAACCTTCATAGAGTTGCACTTGGTAATGCATTGCGTCACCTCTTCCACCCCTAGGTTTGTCTCTTCATGCTTTCCAGTTCTGTACATCCATTTTTCATTGAATCACATAAGTTGATGAAATGAGATAGGTTTTAAATTTCTTTTTTGTTTTGTTTTTGGCAGTACTGGGGTTTGAACTCAGGGCCTCATGCTTACTAGGCAGGCGCTCTACCACTTGAACCATTCTGCCAGCTTTGAAATCCATAATTAGCCGAGAAGTAAATTCCAAGCAATGAAGGAACTTGCCCATTGTTACCCAACTGTATTAGTCAGCTCCAGCTTCTGTAACAAATATTTATATGCAAGGTGGCTTAAATAACAGGATTTTATGTCTCACAGTTCTGAAGGCTGGGAAGTCCAAGATCAAAGTCACACTTTGATTCTTCAGCCATAGTCCACTTCCTGGCCTGCAGATGGCTGCCACTTTTTGCAAATCTTTCACATGGAGAAGAAAAGAGAGGGAGGAAGGGAGGCAGGACAGAAGCAGAAGGAGAGAAAGGGTAGGAAAAGAGGGAGAAAAAGGAAAAGATATATATATATATATATAGAGAGAGAGAGAGAGAGAGAGAGAGGGAGAGAAGGAGGGGAATTCGCTAGTGCCCTTGTCTTTGTCTCTTCTTACAAGGGCACTAATGTCATCATAAGTCCTGCCCCATGGCCTCATCTAAGCCTAAATGTCAGGACATTTGTTCAATATACAAATTTTTTTTGGGGGGGCAAAATTCAGAACTAAACTCAGGTCAGTTCCAGAACTAGGATCGCTGGGGTGCAGAACACCGGACAAGCATTTGTTGAGGCCTCCACTGTGAGGAGTGAGTGAGGCTGCAGCATGCCACACTCAAGTCTTGTCAGTGGTATAGTAGGTCTGGAACCAACTGGAGAGCAAGAGCCATAGAGGGAAACGGCCCTCTGAACATTCTGAAGAGGAAGTGACATCTACACTAACAGAAGAAGAGCGAGAATGTTTCCAAGAGTAGGACACTGAAGGCATGGAACAGTGTCAGAAAGGGCTGGGTAAAATGGGAAGGTGCCGCCGTCTTTGGAGAATGAGGCAAAGCCAGTTTAACCACAGGGAACCGTTCACGTAGGCGTGTGGCGCAGAATCGGGCTGGAAAAACCCCGGGCTTCTTTTCACCTTCCCACTCTGTGGACCTTTTTCGTGGAGACAGGGACCCTGTTTTGTATTTAGGTTGAACCCAAAGAAACCAGTCCATGTCTCTGCAGAAGGTGGTTTATAAATCACAAGCTACTTCCAGACAAAGCCAGGGAGCCCTCTTTGATGGCAAGGCTGTGGTGCCAGTTGTGAAATGGGCAGCAGAACGCTTTCCCAGAGAGTGGAAATGCAGTGGAGCGAGAAAACAGAGAAAGGAGATCTCTTGCTAGTGAAGAGGAAAGAAACCAGGGGGTGCTTTCCTAAAACACAGGAGCTTTCAACTCAGTGGTTCTTGCATCACTGGTCTCCCAGGGCCGCAGCTATCTCGGGCTTGGCGGCCTCTAGGAAGGTTCAGGACCAGAGGTCAACAGCGTGGAAACACCGCCGGGTTCAGGGGCGAGGAAAGGGCGCTCGGGAGGGGGGGCGCGCCCCGTGCAGGTGTATGGACAGCAGGAAGGCTGCCTGTTTTAGTCCTTCTCCTGCCTCGGGGGACAGCCCTCAGTAAACAGCCCTGGACTCCAAACAATTCATCCTGCTTTTAATAAGACCATCTTCAGAACCCAAAAGAGGGCGGTACCCAAAGGAATCTGCAAAATACCCCGCAGGGGAGGGGGAGCGGAGTGTGCCAGAAACATCAGAGGCTGCAGGCCGATGGACCAGTGCCATGCAGACTGATAACCGCGCAGGTACTTCCGCCCCCACCGAGCAGCGGCTCCGCGGTCCACCCCGCGCACACCCCCGCGCCTCGCGGCCGCAGGGTCCAAAGCGGGGGCGGGATCGTCCGCGGCCGGGGGCGGGGCCGGGCGGGGGCGCACGGCTGGGCCAGCGGGAGGAGTAGGCTACTCCGTGCTCTGATTGGCTCTGGCCTGAGCAAGGGGCGGTGACTTAGAGCAGTTGTATGAACCAGCATTGGGCGTCGCAAAAGGAGGGCGTGGTTTTGTGAAGTCAGTTCCGGTTGGTGTAAAACCCCCGGGGCGGCGGCGAACGGGCTTCAGATGCTTCTGGGTCGCGGTGGGAAAAACGCTGCGATCCCAGTGAGTGAGCTTGGCAGCCCAGCGCTAGAGCGACTCGGCGAGGGATGGCGGCCACGGGCAAACTACTAATCCTGTTCCTGCTCGGACTCACGGCGCCTGCTGCGGCGCTGGCGGGCTACATAGAGGTAAGGACCAGCGAGCGTCGGAGCGCGGTCTCCTCCGGCCGCCCGGGGGGAGCGCGGCCTGCGGCCCGCGGGGGTCTATGGCTGGCAGGCTGGGGGCGCGGCGCGGAGGGGTCCGGGGCTGCGGCCGGGCTGGCGCACCCTCCCCCGCCCGTCGGCGCACCCTCCCCTGCTTGGCGCAGTGCTTAGCACTGGAGGTCGGGCTGTCTCTGCCGCCGCAGAGGCCAAATGAAAGGCGTCGGGGCTGCGGGTCGCGGGGGGCGTCGGGTCGCCTCGGTCACCCAACCCCCATCCCTCCCGCGGCGCCGCCTCATCCTCCGGGGACCCCGCGTCGCCTGGGCGCCCGCCCCGCCCTCCCCCGGGACAATGCGCGCCTCTGCCGTGCGCCCTGCGGCCCCGCGGGCGTTCGGGGCGCTTGCTGCCCGCCGGGATCCGCGCCACGGCTCCCTCCAGGGCGGCCCGCGCAGACCCCAGACTTCCTCCTGCGGGGCCGGGCCTGTGCCCCTTGGCTCCCACCTGCCCCCGGCTGTGTAGCCAGGTGGCCGTGTTGCGGGGAGGCAGCCGTGGCTCTGGCCCTTGGCGAGTGGCCGTCATGTCCAAAAAGCCAGCAGTGGGGTTCCCTGGTCCTTCCGCCGCCCCAGAGCGGGTGCCTTCGCGCTGGCTGCGGGCTGTGGTTGGGAGTTCCTACCGGGGCCCTTCACCCAGGCTTAATAAATCCGGGAAAGGCGTCTCCGGTGTTCACTTTGGCCCTTGTGTCGGGGGGCGTTCAGTCGACAGGGCAGGTGCCCCGAATACGGCCTCTCGATCACACTCTCCGGGCGTCAGACCCCCGCGAGCGCCCCGCATCCCAGGGGTTGAACCTGTAAATATCTCGGGCGGGGGCGGCCCGGCTCCCCGGCGGTTGGCGGGAGTTGAGGCGGCTGGAAAAGGCTCGGTGGCCTGAGTCGGTGGGGGCCGGCTCGTGTTGCGACAGCTCTGCACCCTGTCGTCTGTCGCCGAGGGAGCTGTGGGACCTTATTTTTACTAGTCTTCTCGAAATAGTGCTTGCACTGGTGACCTGGAATGAGTGTTTCGGGTGTAGTTTATTTCTTGTGCCCATTCGCTATATTTAAAATTGCTTCTGCGTATTAAGCTGTTTTTCTGGGAGAGGCGAGACTGGATGTGATTAAGTAGGCATTGCCTGAGAACTTTCTAACAGAAACCTCGACTTAGAATGCGTTCAGTTCTCCAGAACGTGTAAAAAGAAATCTAAGGAGGAAAAGAAACCTCTGGTGGAACGGCTTTGTATTCATTCTCCGAGGGGGAAAAGGGAGTTGGGTTTTAAGTTGAAAGAGTTAATGTTTCTATATGCGGGCTTTTAAATTAAGCTTAGTCTCCGCACGGTTGAGTAGGGCTGTGTCTGTGACCTCTGATAAGCAGATCACAGATACAGCTGCAGAGGTAGGATAGGAAGAGAAGGGGGGAAAGGATTTTGTACCTAAGATGGAATTTAACTAATGGATCAGGGTGTCAGAAACCATTGTTCGCAGTTTTACTTCACTTCCTAGTGTTATGAGAAACTTCACGCACTGGTGAATTCACAATAAAGGAATTACCTATTTTAAAGACTGTATTAACACATATGCTTATATAGAGAGAAAGAATAACTATCAGAATTAGTTGTGGATTACATTTGATTGTTAGCCACACGCTGTTCTTTTTTTTTATTATTTTTATAAGAGTATCTTTTTTATTATTAGCATATTATAGTTGTACAGGGGAAACATTGTGACACACAAATGCTTACACTGTATCTTAATTAGATTCACACCATCCATCTTTCTTCTTTATCCCCCCACCCTTCTTAGAACAATTTCAACAGGTTTCATTTCTGTTTCCATACATGAATACAAAATACTTCCACCACATTCACCATCCCTTTTCACTCTTTCCTTATGCACTCCCCCTTCCACTGGTACCTACCCCTGGACAGAACCTGTTTTATCTTCCTGTCCTTCGTTTATTGAAAAAGAACATTTTTGCTAGTATATGAAAGCAATACAAGGAGGTTCATTATGACATTTCCATACATACATATTTTATACCTTAAAATGGATCATTGCCTCCATTATTATACCTCCTATCCTATTTCCCTTCTTATTGTGACTTTCCAACAGGTTTCAATGTTCCATATGCATATTTGCATAGAAAGTACATCAGCCACATTCACCCTCTTTCTTCATTTACTCTCCCCCTCCCACTGATGCCCTTCCCTTAACATGACTTCCTTTACATTTCTGACCATCATTGTTTAGGTGACTGTTGTTCAGTGAGAATTTTGCATTGGTATTTTACCTGTAAATATGTGTCAGTCTACCCCCTCAACTACTTTTCCTCACTCTTTTCCACCTATCCTGTGTTGTTCAAGTTTTCAGTGTGTTTCCTTGTGTCCTGTTCCTATATAGATCTGTTTCATTATTATTTACTTTTCATAATTCTTTCCTTCTCCCTTAGTCCCACATTTGGAAAAATGATCTGTATAACTTTATATGAACATACAATGTTTGTATTTGTATTGGGTCTACCTTCCACATTAAAGAGAAAACATGACACCTTTGTCTTTCTGAACCTGGTTTACTTCCCTTAATATGATGTTCTCCAGTTCCATCCACTGTACATAAATACCATTTTCTTAATCTATTCATCACTTATAGAGCACCTTGGCTATTTCTGTAGCTTGACTATTGTGAATAATGCTGCAATAACCTTGGGCCACACGCTGTTCAATTGAAGTCTGGCTAAACAAAGAAGTAAACATTTCTGCAAAATGCTTTTAAAATGCTATTTTATGATAAGTCCTATTCTTTGAAACTATATTTTTGTCCACACTAAGTTATTTTTTTCAAGTGGTATTTCCTTTCGTCAACTAGCAGAATTTTTTTTACAGTATGTAATTTGATTTTGTTATTTGCTGTCAGGCAAAGGATTGCTCTTAAGCCTTAATTTAGATGAGAATGACCCCTAAATCAGGATGTATTTGGGAAGGCCCTGATTAAGATTAGCCAAAGGGATTCTGGCCAAATCCTGTCAAGTTGCTTGGCACAGAACTATTGACTGGAGAATCTTTAGCATTGACTAAATTAATCTCTTGCACCTGTTGTTTAAAAAAAAACTCACCTACTGAGGGTCACTTCCGCTCTTAAATCCCAGAGGAGTTCAGTGTTCATGTTCCCATTTATGAATCATAAAACAATATTTGTGCCAAAACCCTACACTGTATATAATGGATTTTTGAGATTCAAAACTTGAATGTGTTCTGCCACATCTGAAAGAAGGCCATCTGATTGCCAGTTTTCAGAAAACTCAAATTAAGCCCAAATTAAGGCATAACAACTGAGGCAAGATAGAGAAGGCTTTGTGTTGGTATTTCTGAAAGATTGGGGGGTGGGGAACTACACCTGGGAGAGGTACTTGGGTCATGATTCTGTCATAACTGTGTCTGTGTTTTACAGTCTGTTCATAGTAGGATTAAATTTCATCAATCAAATTAGAGGGAATTTGTTGTGTTCCCATCTAGAGCTGGGCTGTTCCACATGGCTGTTGTGCTTACTGTGTGCCTGAGGAATGGGTTTTCATTTCATTTAATTTTAGCTAATGTAAGTTTACATTGAAAAACAGTGATGGGAAAATTTAACTAAGTAGAAATAGTTAATATTTAATGAGGGAGGGGATAAAGGAGAATGGTGGAGGGGGTGAATTCAAGTATGAAATATTTGATATATTGTAAGAACTTTTGTAAATGCCACAATGGACACCTATTCAGCACAACAATTGAAAAAAAATAATGTTTATATATTTGAGCTTTTAGATTATTTTAGGTCAAGTTTAGACCAAGTATTTCCTATGAAAAATTAGCTTCTAAATTGAGATGTACTGTAAGGTGTAAAACACATACCAAATTTTGAAGATTTAGTATGAAAAATTATAAAAGATCTCAATTTTTGATGACATGAAAGAGATAGTTTGGATATTTGGCTTTAAAATAAAATGCATGAATTTCACCTGTTTCTTTCACTCTGGTGTGGCTACTGGGAAACTTGATACTGTGTGGCTCACATACTTCTGTTGGACAGTGCTGGCTTCAGGTTTTGCTTACAGTTGGTCTTTTATGTGTTGTTAGCACAATTTTTATGTTGTTGTATTTTTCCCAGTAAAGTTTAGTTTGAAGTTAGTCTGGCATAATCTTAAGCTTTTTTTTTTTTCTTTAAAGGACAATTTTCAATATGTTAATTTTTTCCTTATTAACTTTTTCAGTTAAAATTTTTTTTATTTAGAAATAACTTCAAGCTTACAAATAATGCCAAAATTGTGCAAATAGTTCTTGTAGCACTTATCTTCATTCACTATTAACATTTCTCATATTCACAATTTGCTTTCACGGGCTGGGAATATAGCTCAGGGTTGCTAGTGTACTGGTCTTGGGTTCAGTCCCCAGCACTGTCTGCTCTACCCCCCAAAAAATTGCAGTATCTTTGAGCTTACTATCATTATTGTATTTTTTGCTGAACTATTTGAAAATAACTTACATTTATTATACCCTTTACCCTCAAAAACTTTAGCATGTGTTTCCCAGGAACCAAGGATATTCTCTCACATAACCTTGGACAATTGTCAACCTAAGGAAATTTAACATTGATAGAATACTTTCATGGAATCTTCTGTATATACATCCTTTTGTCACTTGACATAGCAGCATCCTTTATAAGCATTTGTAAGCATAGTTATTTTTAAAGTTAACAAGCTTTTGAATTTGTTGCTTAATTTCAGTAATATGTGAAAGGTTATTTATTGTATTTTCTTACTATAAAAATCAGATTTTTATGTTGTTTTGAAAGTAGGAAATCAAAACAATTTTTTCAAGATTCTTTGTATTTACTCTTTCTGAATATTTCAAGCATTCACACTTGTTTGAGACAGAGTCTACAAACTACATTGTATATATTGCTTAGGCTGGCTTTCAATTT